AGAGATGGACAACGAATTTTCAAGATGCAGAGATAGTAAGGAAGCGGAGTGACGGCGCACAGATGGAAGGGAGGGGGAGAAAATTTGGGGAGGGAGGAAGAAGGCAGCCAAGGGATGCTGTCTCAGCAGAATCGCAAGCAATGATTACAAGGTCCTCGGGCAAGGGACCAAACTTCAAAACTTTCTTTAACGATTAATGTATTTACAAGCAGTTACTGGTACCCACACAGTCCTCGGTAGATAGATAAGATAGGGGACAGAGCCAGGGATACACCATCTCATTTGCTCTGCCTCCTTCGAACTTGCTACTTAGTACGTACAGCTAGCTATGGACCCCATCGCACTGCGGGTCTTCGCGAGTGCAGTGGCGATAAGACCGAGAGAGAAAAAAACGCGTCTCCCCAGTTGTTTGCGGGACACTTTACGCGTTGTGACTCCGGCATGCATCAACCTTCGTGTTCGCCCGCCTTGGCAGCTAGTTAGTCGATTCTTTCCGGGTATCGAGAACGATTGTTTGGGTTAGAAGGATCGAATTTGTCTTGAGTGGGCAAGGATTAGGATTTTAATTGCCACTGCAGGGTGCTGCAGCCACTTTACACGCTCCCCCGTTATCCGTAAGTTAATAGTACACAACTCTAACACCTTCGCTCCACCTCACATCACACATCCTCTGTTTTCTCGGGCCTCTTAGAATTTCCATCACACAAACCAGACCTTAGACTGATATATAGAAATGTGAATATGCCATTTCTACACATAGAACTTCAAGCTAACAATCAACCAGGTCGAGAAGAAGCAGAGGAGGCAATGGCGTGCGCGGGCCGTAAGTTTCCACAACTCCATCTAATATGGTGAAATCAAAAACTAATAATTGCTCTTTAGAAACTCGGCCATGACAGAATTCCTGCGGGTACGTCACACTACCCAGAAATTAAAATTCAGAAAGCTTCAATATTAAAGATAGATTTCTCTGACCTCATCGTAGGACAAAGGAATCAATGCCGCTGATATTCGCCGTCGTGCACTTGAACGTGCTGAAGCCGCTGAGGCCGCTGAGGCTGCTCAAGCTGCTACTGCTGAAAGTGAGGCTACGTCTCAAGCACCAGCCTCGGCCCCAACTACTCGTCGCCGTCGTGGGCAACCTGAGAGCGAAGCCGGTCCCTCCACGGAGCAGCCTTCTTCCTCCACTGCTGCAGAAACTAAAAAACGAAAGAAGGATGGTTGGAGAATGAAATCTGTCTCAGTCCCTGGGCAAATTGCATTCTGTGCGGAATGTGAGTGCCGTTTCACCGTAACAGCATACTCCCGTAATGGTCCAGATGGCGACGGATTACTATGCAATACATGTGGTGCACTTGATGCTGGTGTCAAGAAAACGGAGAAGAAAAAGAGGGTTGTGGCCAAAAGGGGAAAGAAGGAGGGTGCAAAGAATATCCTCGATGGAAAAGTGTGGGGACCAAAAACTTTAAGGGAACTTTGTATCAACGTGAGTGCCTTGAAGGGTGTCTGGGGGTTCAAATATGGCTGCTGACCTAATATAGCTCGTTGCGAAATACATTGATGATGTTGAAGCTCTCGGCGATATCGGTACAATGAACATGGATCTTATATGCCAGATCATTTCCCGAAACCGTAGACTTAATAACAACACAATGAAGCTATTTCTAGACCCGGGAAGCACCAGACTCAATATTTATGATTGCTCCAGTACGTTTTCATCTCGTTTTAAAGTGCCAAATACTCCACCTCCAAAACATTCATTCTAACCCACCCTAGAAATCGAAGCCAACGAGCTCCAATCAATTGCTTCCGTCGTTCCTACTCTTCGCCACCTCTCCCTCTCCTTTTGTGGTAACATGACAGACACAGTCCTCACCTACTACGCGCACCAGCTACACTCTCTGAACTCCCTCCACCTTGGTGGGCCCTTCCTCGTCACAGCGGAATGCTATCACAACTTCTTCAAGCTAGTCGGTTCCCGCCTTACAAGCCTCAAACTCACCGACACTGCGCGCATCAATGCCTCTGTCATCGAGTCCATCGTTGACAACTGCCCCAATCTCGCCGAGCTCCGTCTCTCCGACCTCAACAAATTTGACGACGAGTGCACGCGCCTCCTTACAGGCCTGAGCAAGCTCGAGGTCCTCGAGATCTCAGGCCCCGGCTGTGAAGTCAGCGATAAAGCTATTATTGATCTCCTATCCTCTGTTGGACGTGGATTAAAGGAGCTTGATCTCACTCGCTGCCAGGAGCTCACTGATGACATCCTGCCGTTAATCCGCGAACAGTGTACAGATCTACAGATCCTCACGCTGGAAGACTGTGAACAGCTTTCCAACGAGGGTGTAGCTGCACTATTCACGGATTGGAGCATGAATTCGGGTCTCTCGCACCTAAATCTTTCACGAATCGTCGACTTCTCTGATGAAGCACTTCACGCCGTCCTCGAACACTCAGGGACTAATCTAGAGGTCCTTAATCTCAACTCCTGCGGGAAGCTGACCGACGTTGGGCTTGGAGCTCTCGGGAGGGGCCTCGGAAGGCTAGAGGAAATTGACTTGGGCTTTATTGGGGCCGTCAATGACAGTGTTCTAGAGGACTTGGGGAGGAGCTGCAAGGCACTAAAAGTAATCAAAGTATGGGGCGTGTTGAGGTGCACCGGTTGTGCTAGTTTGCCTACTGGCTTGCAGGTGGTTGGCGTGCAGGAGATTGCTAGTCATTGATACTCCCCTAAGTATTTCGGTTTTTCGTTTTTCCCGGTCTCACAAGATGACATGCATGCCATTATCTTTACTTAGGAGTTTTTCAAGGACCATTTTCTTTCTCTTTAGCCGTAGGTACCTAACGATATTCAATAAAATACCACGTTTTTTAAGCAGCTAAAGCTAAATCACTTAATACCTTCCTAGCTAGAAAGCAGAAAGGAATAGAATATAAGCGGGAGCTAAACCATATATAAATATAGTTAGGAAATTCTAATAAAACACCTATCTCGGTATCACCCCGCACAAACCCAGCCAGTAGTAGAGACCATATCCAAATACACCCCAGGTCGATCCAGGATGTCTAGCACGGTCGAATCGTAACCCTACATTGAAAAACACATTACTCTCAACAACCGAGTGATATCCCATGATGAGCGTTTACGCTCGACATCTGCGGCCGGAGATGGGGGACCACCCCATCCTGATCTCACACCACTAATCTCCAATAGACCTTGGGATGCTGAAAACTTGCAAGTTTCCCCGATTCTACCGCACCGCGCCGCACTAGTGGAGCCTGGTATCTACATCGTGATGCTCCCAACCTCAAACGTCCTTCATCCTCATCACAAGTATGTAAATTTGCCTTGAATATACACATACCGGCACTGTCCCACGCACGCTACTTCTGTCAAGTCCCAACTTCTCTCACGAAAGAAAGAAGGAAAGAAAAAGGAAAGAAAAAAAACACCACGAAAGCTGGATTTGGGCACGATAAAAGCTCATTTCGATTCGAATTTCCCGCACCGAGAAGGGTGCCACCTGTTAACCCTAGTCTCATATCGCGCCGTACTAGTGTGTGGTTTCATGGGAGGTATATCGTATATCGAGACGAGCCCAGGTTGGAGGCACCCCTGCGGACAGTGAACCTCCAAGGTCCCAAAACACAAACCGCCACGCAGAACAGCGCCTGCAAAAACAAACACCGGAAAGCCAAACCAGACCAGAGCTCCGAGCACCAAGCCTCCAACCTTCGAGGCCATCATACCAAACTCTGTACTAGGACTAGCTCCAACACCACGTGATACAACCTAACCCTAACCCACAACCCGTTTAAAGATTTTTTTTCATCCCATCTCTCATCTCCGACGTCAACCAGTCAACCAACAAGAACATCAACAACAGCATCAGCGTTTCGCAGGTTGGGAGATCATTTCTAGGCTCATATGCTCCTGTCACATAATCAATAGACTTCAGGATGTAAGCCTGCCTTACTACTCTCTCTCTCTCTCTCTCACTTTCTGTTTCTGTTTCTTTTCTTTTCTGGGGCGCGGATATATTATGCAGCAAGCAGAGAGCTCTTCAGCGATTCCATACCCAAAGGTCGACTGAGGAGCGGAAGGTTTCTTATGACCTCGACGGAGTGATATGATCTCCACATCTTGCAAGAGTCAAAAACCGTATGTTTGAGGCTGCTGTTGCCTAAACAGTGGAATTGTGGCCATAGAAAAGCGGGAAATTTACAAATCCATACCCTTCAATTATTTATCTACGTTTTTGTTTCTGTATGTGCTGTTTTGTTTGGCGATGTTAGTAGAATCATGTACTTCCAAGTATTTTCAAATAAACGATCATTACCGCATTGCATTGTCCCACCAAAGATCTCAAATCCTGCTGCTGCACAGTGACGCTGAACTCTACCTTCTCACCAGTCTCCCCAAATAACCCCACCACCCCGCCATCCCCCACAACCACAACCACCAAACCACCATGGACACCATCGCCCTCATCTCCGGCGGCAAAGACTCCTTCTTCTCCCTCCTCCACGCCATCGCCAACAACCACCGCATAGTCGCCCTCGCCAACCTGCACCCCCCCACCCCCAGCACCGCCCCCACCACCACAACCACCCACCACCCCACCGCCACACCCCCCATCTACACGCCCGCCTCCTCCACCACCGCCGACGAGCTCGACTCCTTCATGTACCAAACCGTGGGCCACACCCTCCTCCCCTTCTACCCGCACGCCCTCTCCCTCCCACTCTACCGCCGCGCCATCACCGGCCACAGCGCCGACCAGAACCTCTCCTACACGCACACCCCCGACGACGAGACCGAAGACCTGCTCCCGCTGCTGTCGCACATCATTGCGGTACACCCCAGCGTAAAGGCGGTGTGCACGGGCGCCATCCTGAGCACGTACCAGCGCACGCGCATCGAGAGCGTGTGTGCGCGGCTTGGGCTGACGTCGCTGTCGTATCTGTGGCAGCGGGGGCAGGGGGAGCTACTGGCGGAGATGGCGGGCGTGGGGCTGGAGCCAAGGATTGTGAAGGTTGCGGCGGTGGGGCTGGATGCGGAGAGGTGGGTGTGGAGGTGTGTTGTTGATCCTAAGGCCAGGAGGGAGCTGGAGGGTCTGCGGAGGAGGTGGGGGGTGCATGTGGCGGGGGAGGGCGGGGAGTATGAGACGATTGTGGTGGATGGGCCCGGGTGGAGGGGGAGGATTGAGGTTGAGGAGGGGCAGAGGGAGATTGTGGAGGGCGCGGGCGGGGTTGGGCATCTGAAGGTGCTTGGTGCTAGGTTTGTGGAGAGAGAGGGAGAGCCGGTGGGGCAGGAGGAGTGGGTGAAGGACTTGAAAAAGCCGGATCTGTGGGATAAGGTATTTGCGGACATTCTGAGGATCATTGACACCGAGAATGAGAATACCACTCCCGCAGAACCGCCGAAAAGCGCCATACCGCTCTCCGGCGGCCCCAGCATCTCCACCGCCCAAACCTCCCAGTCCGGAAACCTCGTCTTCATAACCAACCTCTCCAGTCCCTCCCCCACCACCACCATCACCGAAGAAGCCCAATCCGTAATGACCCTCCTCTCCCAGAACCTCTCCACCCTCAACACCACCTTCTCCTCCATCACCTCCACCACCCTCCTCCTCCGCTCCATGTCCGACTTCGCCGCCATAAACAGCATCTACTCCTCCTTCTTCACCGCCCCCAACCCGCCCTCCCGCGTCACCGTCTCCGTCGGCCCCCGCCTCCCAGAAAACACAAACATCCTCCTCTCAGCAACCATCGACCTCCCCACAAAGTCCCCGCGCAAGGGCCTGCACGTCCAGTCCCGCTCCTACTGGGCGCCCGCCAACATCGGCCCCTACTCCCAGGCCATCAATGTCGACGGCTGGGCCGCCCTCGCGGGGATGGTCCCGCTCGTACCGAGCTCCATGGGGGTGCTCAACGCAGGCGTCAGCCGCGCCGACGTGAATGCGCAGGCGGTGCTGGCGCTCCAGCATATGTGGCGGGTTGCGACAGCGACCGAGGTCACGGTGCTGCTGGGGTGCGTGGCGTATGTGGTTGGGCCTGTTGGTGCTGCGGCGGCCACGGCGGCGTGGAAGGAGCTGTGGAGGGGATGGAAGGGGGAGGCGGGGTGGAAGGGGCTGTTTGGAGCCGATGAGGACGAGGATGAGGATGGTGAGGATGATGAGCCGGTGGAGGTTGAGACGGGTATAAGGCCGCCGCTGCTGATAGTATCGGTGGAGGAGCTGCCGCGTGGCTGTGCGGTGGAGTGGGCGGGCGTGGGATTTGATCCGGAGTGGATCCAGAGGGTGCGGGGTGAGTACTACACGGACGATGATAACGACGCTGAGAAGGCCAGCGATGACTGGGGCGTCAAGACGTGCGCAGAGACATGCAGTAGTGGGATTGTGACCTCGTCTGGGGTGTATTACGGCGGCTGGAGCAATGGCCGGAGCATCTGTGGTGGTGGGGTGGGGATACTCTGTCTCCCGGTTTCCTCAGAGGAAGATAGATGTACGACTCTAGCAAAGGAGGTAGCAGAGAAGGTGGGTGCGGAGGTGATGGGCTTTGACGCTGCGGAGGTGAGGGTGTATATTCCGGCTGTGACGGGAACGGTGGGTGAGTTCTCGGAGGCCTGGGGGAGGGAGATGTGTGAGGTGAAGGTGGCCGTCATGTTTGTGCCTGTGGACCAGGTGTGGGACTGTGATGGCCAGCTGGCGGGGCTGGGTGTGGTGGTGAGAAGAGTGGGCGAGATGGCTGCGTGGGCTACTTTGAAGAGCGCTCAGTCTAAGAGACAGTGAGGGGAGAGAATGCCAGCATGCCCTTTACTGTTTCGTTTTCCAAAAAAACGACTGTATGCATTATATATAATTAGATAGATAGGCTCATAATCGTCAGCTAGGTTGTCTCCATCAACCATGACATTACATAGCTGTAGAACATCACTTGTCTCATGAATTCTTTCCCTCATCTGGATCGAGCACTACCACTAGAATTAAAGCCTTGGAGTTTATCATCGTAAAGTCCCAATTTACATATACGAATAACCACTTGAGAGGATGATTTCCAGAGAAGCATCCGCAAAGGAATCAATCGGAATGAATCGACAATAACGGTTCCTTTGCGCAATTTCAGCAATTTCAATCATTGAGCCAAGAGTGCTTTGCAGTTAGCTATTAGTGGTTCATCACAGACTATCACTCGCACTAAAATACCTCGACCAGGGTCCTTAGACCAATGAGATGGAGGCTATTTCGCACTAGTAATATTGACGTCTGATAAGATCATAGAGCCTATCCGACCCTTGTCATTTTTTTGGCTGCAAAATCTCTCGACCCATTCCGTGGGAAATGCTTAGTAGGCGGTGGCCGTGATTGTTCATTCACAGACCTAGATGTCGATTGGTGGCGTTTGTCGTGAAGAACCTTCACTGGTAGTAAGAAAGCCACTTCCGCAATTGCAGTGGCAAGTTCAAGCCCGCAGGACTTGATTGATAATGATTTTATGCGGATCGATTCTTCTTCTAGTGCTTAGTCTACTCTGTTGTTAGTTTGCTGATTTTTGAGATGTTTGCATCCGTGAGTTGTTACTCTAGATGTAGAGTGCCCTCATATACACGGATAGAGCACTCCTCTTTGGATCGAGAGCACCGGTAGATACTCTAAGATCCTCCGGTTAACATTTGTGGTTCGAGGTGATGGGACGGCTCCAACTCATGATTGGACGCTGTCTGCCAGGATGTCCAGCGAATACCGAGGTCGCAGGATGAACACCTCTACTTAGTAGGAACTCGTAGTAGCTCCATTCCCTTTTTACTAGCGGCTACCAATACGTGTCACTTCTCTGTGGCTCTACCTGGCTTCAGAAGGCGCAGTATAATTTTCAATTCCCCCAGCTACTGCGTGTATTTGTATTTCCGATCCCTTGATCCTGCGTCCTGGGTTCTCTCGGCAGTATGTATCAACTTTATCGTTATCAAAAAAGTGCCTCTAGGATAAACACATTCCCAAGTGTCAAGTGCGTCATAGTCGTAGTAATCGTTCTGAAACAAAAACGGTTTTTTTTTTTTTCCTCTACTGTTTAACGTGTAACGTCAGCCAGCGGGTTGGCCCTGCAAGCACGTTTTTTTTTTCTTAAATCGACCCTGAAATTGCGGCTCTGTAACTAACTAATCGAAGGAAAGGGTCCGAAAATCAGCACCTTTTTTGATCTTTTTTTTGCCCTGCATATGACAAATTAATTTCACTTCAATTTTTTTTTTACTCTTGCCAGCTCTATAGGTTTTTTCGCGGTTTTTGGTTAAAGGCCTTTTGCTGACAGAGAACGACGTCCAGACCTCACGCTGGAAAGCACCGCTACCCGAAAGCGAGCCGGAAAAACCCCTAGTGGGCCTCGTTGTGCCAGGGTCCAGCTTTAAAAAGCTGGGGAAACATCTCAACTCAGCTTAGCGGGCTTTGAGCCGAGATCTTTAAACCCTGTCGATATGCTCGCATTAATCAGCCACGGGTCTCTCTATTACGGTCTCCCCCAGAATCAGTCGAAGCTCGTTGCCAGTGAGGGTTCCTAAGTAACTGATATCCCCTAACCCTAGTGCTTCCCGTCTTTTCTCCTCCCTTCTGTCCGTTCTATCCCCACTTCTATCCCCCTTCTCCTCCTCTTCATCCCCATTTCATCTATCTATATTAACCCCACTATTCCCTCCGTCCCACACCCCATTGATCAATCTCACCTCCCTCCCTATCTTGCTATCTTCCCCATCCTCTAGCTTTCTAGAGATAATAATTATATCCCCCCCCCCCTTCATCAGCCTACCACATCAAAAATGGCATCCGCAGCTCGCACTATCACTCGGTTCGCCCCGAAGAACATCTCCTTCACACCCCTCCGAAGGAACCTCACAACCGCCACACATGCCCGGCCATCAACAAAGATAGCATCTCCTATCAGGCAGGCACCCCGCCGAGGCTATGCATCAGAAGCTCCTAGCGGCGGTAGCGGAAGGGGTATCTTTGTTGGATTGACTCTTGCCGCCCTCGGTGGTGCGGGGTACTACCTCTACTCCACCGATCAGCTATCAGCTATCACCGGATTGGCCGGCGGCAAGTCAAGCACAAAGCCCCCAGGCCCCTTCCAGCCCACCAAGGAGGACTACCAGAAGGTTTACAACGATGTTGCAGAGCTCTTGGACAGCAATGATGAATACGACGATGGCTCTTACGGCCCAGTAAGTTTTATTTTTTTCTTCTTTGAACTCAATTGGCAAATAAGATGGTTTTAAGGGTGTGTGGCTGACCTGTTTCACCAATCAGGTCCTTGTTCGTCTCGGATGGCACGCCTCCGGAACCTACGACAAAGAGACCAAGACTGGTGGCTCCAACGGTGCCACCATGCGGTTTGCCCCCGAGTCTGATCATGGGGCCAATGCTGGGTTGAGGACTGCTCGTGATGTTCTGGAGAAGGTCAAGGACAAGCACCCGTGGATCAGCTACTCTGATCTGTGGACACTTGCAGCTGTTGCGGCCATTCAGGAGATGGGCGGACCCAAGATCCCATGGAGGCCTGGACGTAACGATAGGGACGTTGCCGCTTGCACTCCCGATGGTCGTCTTCCCGATGCTACTAAGGAGCAGAAACATTTGAGAGATATCTTCTACCGCATGGGCTTCAATGACCAGGAGATCGTGGCACTTTCCGGTGCCCACGCTCTTGGTCGGTGCCACACTGACCGATCAGGTTTTGAGGGTGAGTTATTTTTTCTCTTATCTGTTGCAGACAGAATTCTTAAACCGGCTTACTAATATCTATATCAGGACCATGGACATTCTCTCCTACTGTCTTCACCAACGACTTCTACAAGCTCCTTATCGAGGAGAAGTGGTCATGGAAGAAGTGGAACGGCCCCAAGCAGTTCGAGGACGTTTCTAGCAAGTCCCTCATGATGTTGCCCACAGACATGGCCCTCATCAAGGACAAGGTCTTCCGCAAGCACGTTGAGGCCTACGCCAAGGACAACGAACTCTTCTTCAGGGACTTTGCAGACGTCTTTGCAAAGTTGTTGGAGTTGGGAGTGCCCTTCAAGCAGGAGGAGAAATTCGTCTTCAAGGCCACCACCGACTAAAGTTTGAGTGTTGATCAGGGGGTAGGGAGGTTGGGTGCGGTGATACCATTTTTGGGGCATTCTGCGGTAGGGTAGGAGGGGAATTGTTGTGATACCACTGCCAGCGTATGGTTTTTTGTATTTTGCGTAATATCCATGGCGTCATGTTTTTTTGTTCCTATTTTTTTCTTCGCTTGAACCTGGCGTGTTTAGCGAAGGGATCTTTTTTTTTTTTTTTTTTTCTCTTGCATATAATTAGTTGAGAATCAAGACTGGTTACTATGGTCATATTGTTCCGCAATTGTATATTGGAATCATTTACTCGGAATCTACCTATTCTGCCTGTCGGGGATTCTCGGTTATCCTCGGTCAAGTAAACCTTACTCTGGGTTCTGTTCGATGTGTTGCATCTGCAAAATTAAAATAATGTAAACACTGTAAATGAAAAATGACGTCCATTAAAACCCTGAAACAGACACCTTGCGAGTCAGTCAGTCCCGCACCCACCTATATTTTGTGGATGCCTCCCGCGTTATGGTTATGGTGCATGCCGCCGCTGTTGTGTGCCTGGACTCAATCTCCGCGGGGATTGCCTCATACCTATAATATCAGCAATTTAAGATATAAAGAGCGGCTGTTAAGTTCTGTATGTATGTAGTGCGGGGTACAGTTCTGCAGTGCAGTGCAGGGTCCCGTGAGATACTCACGACCGTGTTTAAAACGAGGCAAAATACTCGAGCTGTTCAACAGTCCAGCTAGGTAGTTGTATCTGCTACTTCTATAGCTACATGTAACTAGTTCTCTCCCCCGCCAAACCCCCGCTTAAATAGCCCTAACCCTATACCGGTATCTTACTCCTTCCCAACCGGACGTGAGTTTATAACCATTTTTCTTACTCTCAGTATTTACTCGTGAATATTTCACGGGACCCTAGTGAAGTGCACCCCTCCACCGGAAGGTCTAGAACACAAATGCTGTTGAACGGGAGTGGGAATCAAGCTTTGTGGTGCTGCAGGGTCGGATGGCGGAATCATGGGCTATCACTCTCACGTGGAGCGCATGCAAGGAGGGGTCTTTGGAGTGGGTGGTAGCGTGCGTCCTGGAGGAACCTATGAGATAGTGAGGAGTGGGGGTCAAGCGAGGTGAGATGAGGTGAGGAAGCTAGGAGGATGTGATGGATGGATGGATGGAGGTGGATGTCGAGGAATATAACTCTGGTTTTAATACTGCACTTTGGTAAGTGAGGTGAGGTCGGCTAATTACGACCCTGAAAAGCTGGAACGTGGTGAGAAGATGGCCTTGGCGGTATAGGTAGATTTATACTTATAACTCCAGCTTTTGGATGACGATATGATCGGCTTCGGTGTCCTGTTCGAGCTAAGGGTCTTAATTCTTACAACCCCACTACCCCACCGCCACCACCGGCTGCGTGGTTCATCATATATCATACATCAACCCTCCTGTTGATAACCGACTCTATAAAGTTCGTATCTTGTCGCCGCTCCCTCCGTGTCGTCCCGGAGCTCGCTGCTGGCTGACGTCTAGCTTATCAATGTCGGCGCTCACTCGGGGTTGCGATGATTTAATCCAAACGTCCGCCCCCTCTAAGCGCCTCTCTTCTTAGATCGCTATCCCCGGCTTACTGACGGATTTGACCAATTTAGTTATTCCGGATCTGCTTGGAAGGGGTTTGATGATATATCAACCCCTCTAAACACCCTCATCTAATTAACATCAACGCCCCCCCCCCCCCACCAAACGGAAGATCCACACGTGGGCCGGCTACGCACATGGCTCGGGCTAGGCTTTGACGTCTTAAGGGACACGGAAGTGGGGGGAAACATCAAAAATATTCTATTACGTTTCGTGGTGGTGTTACCCCTGTTAGAAATTTGAGCCGAGTGATAGTTCGTGATTAAAGTTACCCTAAGTGCTCCGCCATCACTGAGTCAGCCCCACTCTCATAGCTATCTAACCCATAAACTATACTAGTTCAATCGATGCAGTTTTATTTACCTAGGTAATCAGCACGAATTTCTTTCTGGGTGGTAATGGATGTATAGAGAGATATCCTGCATGATATTGGGAGTCCATATTCACGAGCTAACTACCAGGTGTGTCAGTAGTTATTTAGTTACAACCGCCTATTAATGCAATTACTTGCGTGTTCCGATATGCTTTTACCTCATCGCGTTCCCCGCCATCTCCCAAGGGGCCTAGGGGAGATGATATGTGGGGTGTTTGCGCCAAACGTAATTCATGGCTACAAGTATGTGTGGGCTCATATCCCTGGCTAGCTTCTCCTCTGGGTCATATTCGCCTAGGTTTGGACCCTATAGTAGCCCATGATTTGATTCTTTTTGCAAAGGTCAAAACTCGATGATACCGAGAGTCAATGAAAACTATAACTAGAGATAGGAATCATGAGCGCTTTTCGGAGCGGCGTACTGTCCCGTTTGTAGAGCTTCCACGCTGGTCAATTGGTAATCGAATACCAACTAAGTTGATCAATGATGCACAAGACTTAAAGAATTGATTTGTTCATGTGTTTAATTGACGTCGTTTTCGGCGTTGTGAATTGATTGGTTATTCTATATGCATATCCTTATAAGAATAAAAATGGTATTACCTATGGCTCAAGAAGCTATAGAGGGTAGGTAAACTTCAGCGTTTGCAGCCAATCAATCTATAGAAATTGGGAGATCTACTCCCATAATGGTACTAGCGCCTAGCCCAATAGTAGAATTTTCTCTAATTCCCATACAAAAAAAGTTCCTCTGAAGTTGACACACCCACCCCCTATACCTTCTCGCGTCATATATGATGTCCTAAGACGAGAAATTCAAAGTGCCGAGGCCAATACCCACTGAGTCTATTCAATTACGATAAAGAACAGTCTCAGCGTCAAGCTCTCTTATCTGTATAATCTACTCGTCCACTAGAATTATGGTAGGTTTTGCTGTAAATTAAACGTACTAGGAGTAAAGTAAGAAGTAAGGAGGCAAATTATCCCTTGGCCTTCGAAAAACGCCGTACTTGTGCCAAGAGAGTATTAGATTAGGTCCCCATTTTTCTCCCTTATCTACAATCAACTGGTCCTTACGATCTGCCCCAGCGTCCGCTGTATCACAGTAGAACTTCCGATAGTATCCTTTTATCTGGCAAAGAATGCTGCCCACCCCAAAAAAGCAAATTTTATGTGCTTTACTAACAGATCCCGTTATCTCTCTTATCAAATAATAGATCTCCCATACAAATCTAGTTACTGTGTTATAGGGTGGGCAGCATTGCCTAGGGAGAGTTGAATAATGCGCCCGATCGGGTATCAGATGTAGGGTGTTTGCCAGAGGAGATGGGGTTCGATTCCCCCCGAGGGCTACTGTATTTCTGCTTAGAAATTTCTTTTTTTTTGCTGCGGGATCGATGTTGATTGGATCATATCATCTTAATTTCCTATTTCACAAAAGCAGTCATATGTACGTATACCTAGATTAGGAAATATATCCTAGTTCTGAAATGCCTATCATCAGAGGATGAACCCTCGGGTATTGATTGGTAGATTAATATCTGGTGATATATGTTGAGATGCTTCAAGCTTAAAATGCGGAATTGGGTTAGGTGGTGGAAGTTGTAAAAAGAAGAAAAAAAAGAAGACAAAAAGTCCGTCAACGAGTCCTCGCCTGGGGAGGCCGAAGTTGATACATCTTTGTGTCTACGGCTCGCAGCTATGGTACCGAATGTGACCTATACCGCCATCCAACTCACTTGACAGGTGTTACTTTAATTTTGTAGTTTTGGCTTCATTTGCATATATCCGCCCTTAGCTTATGCTAGTTTAGCAGTACCGTACGGGAGGACCCGGAGCCGGAAAGGGCTATAGATCGATACCAATGATCTTTATCACCTTTTTCTATTATTCTCTTATGTAATGTATTGTATTTATATAAATTTAAGTTTATGACAATATAAAAAAACATTTTATCCCCAAAACTTACAACATTGCTCTCGAAGGCAGGGAAAATAAATGATAATAAACGATTTACTCTATCCATTCTCACATTCTCAACTTGGGGAGTCCACATAACTTTGTTCTTTGTTTTGGACATCGATCCTATGGCCAGGTAGTTTTAAAATACCCTCCTCCCTCTAGATCTACTTTGATGCTCGTACTGTGTCTAACTACATATGTATATTATACTACCAGGATTTTATAACAATACTATAATCACTCTTCTAAGCTCGCATCTTATTCCTTTTCCTCCTGTTTTCCACGCCATGAATCCTCCCGATTCCGATTATCATTTCTTCATTGCATGGTTTTGAATATACTCTTACTTTACTTTCTCTATTACCTAAAGCCTAACCAACGGGTTGTCCTATTTCATTACTGAGGCTTCACTTAAGTTATCGATAGGGTCTCAGCACCTGCGCTGCATACCTCTTGCATGAGAGGGTCTCTTCATGGATAATATGATCTGGCAGACGCCTCATCCGACCCATTGTGACAGCGCTCTCGGTACAGTTTACCGTATTTGCTCCGTTTGTCAGCGGAACTCTCCCTTCGTCACCGGTGGGTAACATCCGGTCAACAGAACACCGCCCGTCGCACCACAACCGAGTGATATCCCATGCTCCGTGACTATCACCGCCCACGCCAAGAACAAACACCACCGGCCATCCAAATCACCAAATATTTCTTTTCTTATCTGGACACTCTCTCTACACAGTCAGAGTTTGAATCAGAAATATCCCCTCATCTCACTTCCAGTCACAAGCTGGTACCTAAGGCAACCACAACATTCCACCACTACCAACCACCCCCGATAACGAGATAGGTACACCCGATTATCAACATCCTGCTGACACTATCATTACCCCCCCCCCCTCTCCCCTTTTTCTCGATTACTAACCAGGTGGCGACGCTCCTCCTCCAAAGTACTAGTACTTTACCTAGAGTAGGTAGATAATAGATATCATAGGTCTTGTGAACCCATGGGCGCTGACCATACGAGCCTCACCTC